ATTCTCTCAGTTGTCCCCCCTAGTATGTATGATGCATGCATATTCTTAGCCCCAAAGTGCATAAATTTACATTTATCAACATTAAACCTCATTTGCCATATAGTTGCCCAAATAAACAGTGCATTGAGGTCTACTTGTAAGTCCTGTAAGGACGTTATTCCACTGCACAGCTTGGTGTCATTTGCAAAGACTGAAACAGGATTTTTAATCCCAGACCATATATCATTTACAAATATATTAAAAAGTAAGGGTCCCAACACTTATCCTTGGAGTACACCACTGACAACCGTAGACCATGCAGAGTATGAATCATTAACCACTACTCTTTGAATATGATCTTTTAGCCAGTTTTCTAACCACTTACATACAGATTTTTTCAAGCCTGTGGACTTTACCTTACACATTAGCCGTGTGTGGGTAACTGTGTCAAACGGTTTTGCAAAATCCAAGTATACCACGTCCACCACCACCCCTCTGTCCAAGGTTTTGCTCACCCCGTCATAAAAAGAAATCAGATTTGTTTGACAACTTCTGTATTTAATGAATCCATGCTGTCTGCTGTTTAAAATATTATTTTTTTTTCCATCAAGAACTCATCTATGTGGTCTTTTATTGAACTCTCCAGTATCTTCCCAACTATAGATGTTAAACTAACAGGTCTATAATTACTTGGTAAAGATTTTGATTCATTTTTAAATATAGGCACCACATTGGCCTTACGCCAATCCAGTGGTACTATGCCAGTCATTAAAGAGTCCCTAAAAATTAGAAACAATGGCTTTGAAATGACAGAGCTCAATTCTTAAGGACCTGTGGGTGTATGCCATCCAGTCCAGGTGCTTTATTCACCTTTATTCTGTCTAAATATTTCTGGATCATATCAATTGTGAGCCAGTGTGGATCATTTGGGGCTGTGTCAATACCATGCCCAATATGGTCCCTAAGGCGTCCCAATCCTTTTGGCAATATAGTGTATGTACTCAACAGGCCCTAAACCATTCCACCTAATAACACCTAAATGACCCTACAGTCCTGTGCAAAAGTTATAGGCAGGTGTAGAAATGCTGTAAAGTAAGAATGTTTTCAAAAATATATATTTTAATTGTTTCTTTTTATCAATTTACAAAATGCAAAGTGAGCAAACAGAAGAAAAATCTAAATCAAATCAATATTTAGTGTAACTACTCTTTGGCTTCAAACCAGCATCAATTCAATTCATCAAGCTATTATGAAGAAACACAAAGAAACAGGCAATGTTGAGGTCTGTAGATGCAGTGGTTGGCCAAGGAAACCTAATGCAGCAGCAGCAGATGAAAGACCAATCATGCTATGACATCAGAAGATATCCAGCAGTGCCATCATCACAGAACTGGTGGAAATCAGTAGGACCCAGGTACGCCCCTCTACTATCTGGAAAGACCTGGCCAGAAGTGGTCTTCGTGGAAGAATTATGGCCAAAAAGCCATACCTTTGATGTGGAAAGAAGGCGAAGCAACTCAACTATGCACAAAGACATAGGAACTAGGGTGAAGAAAAATGGCAGCAGGTGCTCTGGACTGATAAGCCAAAATTTGAAATATTTGGCATTAGCAGAAGGCAGTTTGTTCACCAAAGGGCTGGAGAGCAGTACAATAATGAGTGTCTGCAGGCAACAGTGAAGCATGATGGAGGTTCCCTGCAAGTCTGGGGCTGCATTTTTGCAAATGTAGTTGGAGGTTTCGTCAGGACTAATGGTGTCCTCAATGTTTAGAAATACAGGCAGATACTTATTCATAATGTGATACCATCAGGGAGGCATGTGATTGGCCCAATATTTTTTCTTTGCAGCAGGACGGCCACCCCAAACATACAGCCAGTGTTATTAAGAACTATCGTCATCGTAAACGAGAACAAGGAGTCCTGGAAGTGCCAACAGAGCCTTGATCTCAACATCTTCAAGTCTGTCTGATTACATGAAGAGACAGAATGATTTGAGGCATCCTACATCCACAGAAGATTGGTGGTAATGTCTCCAAGATGTTTGAAACAACCTACCTGCTGAGTTCCTTCAAAACCTGTGTACAAGTGCACTTAGAAGAATTGATACTGTTTTGAAGCCAAAGGGTGGTCACACCAAATATTGATTTGATTTGAATTTCTCTTCTGTTCATTTAGTTTCTATTTTGTTAATTGCTAAAAATAAACTATTAACACTTCTGCTTCTGAAAGCATTCTTAATTTACAGCATTTTTTAACAACTGCCTATAACTTTTGCACAATACTGTAAGTGGATTTGAGATGATATTTTATGCAGAATGTGAATATTGCTAGGTAGCTCATTGCACAGGCAGCTCAAATTTATATAGACTGTTTGATTAAAACATATTTGGTGATGGAAATTACATACAGTACCAGTTTATATGGTGGCAGGGCTTTTTTTCAGCGGGAACACAGGAGAACACTGTTCCAGCACCTCCAGCACTAAATGTATGTAATGGCAATGGGTGCTGGGATGTGCTGAAGAGTCTATTGTTGATGCTGGTTGCTGCAGGATCTATTGTTACTGCTGGTAACCTATTTTTTTTTTGCATGGGGTCTGTTGTTGCTGGGGGGGGGGGTCTTATGTTGCTGGAGGGTCAGTTGTTGCTGGGAGGGATTTCCTGTTGAGGAAGGAGTCTATTGTTGCTGGCTGCTGGTTTGGCCTATTGATGCTGGCTACTGGGAGACCTGTTGTTGTTGCTGGGGGTCTATAATTCCTGAGGTGGTATTTTGTTGTAGGGGGTCCATTGTAGCTGGGGGGTCTATTGTGTGAGGGATCAATTGTTGCTGACTGCAGGGGATCAACTCTATTTTACAGCTTTTCTTGTTATCATTAACATATTACATACAAATTACATAGCACCACAAAATTATACTTGGTTCTGTAATCTCTAAAAGGGGTGCTACTGGGAGGTGGGTAGGAGGTGAAACCAAGGGATGGTGCTTGGAGGTGGGTAGGGGGCAGAGAGAAGGGGTGACTCAAAAAGCGGGGAGTTCCTGCACCTATTCTCTGAGAAAAAAAAGCCCAGTATGGTGGACTCTTGGACATACATATTTTGCTTTTCTTTAAGACAAACCTAACTTTTTCTTTTACAAAGAATATTATTATAGAATAGGTAACAGCAGAGAATCAGTCGAAAACAGATACATTGACCGACAGGAATGAAACATACAAACCTAACCTTTTCAAGGGTGAACAGCTCAATAAAGATGGTCACACATGCAACAATATGATTATGCCTTCTATAGTTGAAAGAACTACACCCAAGTGTGGGATGATGCATGAGATCCCAAGGTGGTCTTTGGATATGGCTGTATGAAAAAGTGCTTGCATATGTTTGAACAGTAGATTTGTGTAGAGGGCAGATGTGGCAAGGTGGTTAAAACATAAAAATGTATTGATAGCATTGCTGACCGAGTCACACCACCTGTATACACATTAAAAAGTCTATGGATTCCCTTTTAGAAGTTGTTGTATTCATTCTGCTACAATCCCCTTTCATTCAGAAAGCTACACTTTTTTTAACCCTCTCCACCCATTTGTACTTCTCTTTGAAGTAGTTATTCTCAATGAAGATATATATAGTAGATTAAACAAGAATCTATTTAGTTCCAAAAAGTATTCACTATGCTTTCAAGGCATTTTCTAGTGCTAAATTGAATTTTAGGTGACATCTCACGAATTTGATTGGCTGTTAACAGTCACTGACTGTTTAGTGTAACAGTACTTCTCATAGCATACAGAGCAACAAAGCTAGAGAAAGCTAGAGTTGACGTTTTATAAAATCGTATGGGGTACCTGTACTTAATTCATTACTATGGTTGGAATATTGTTGTATATATGTTCAGTCCTAAATCTTGCTAAGTGCATATCTCTGCTGTTACTCATATTTCCTGTTGTTAGGGGGAAGTAGGTGAAGCTGGCTTGCCAGGGGCATCTGGGCTTCCTGGACCGGCAGGTGTAAAGGTATTAGTACAAATAACCTTGTTGCTGGGTTTATGGTTCAGGTGTGTATGTAATGCAAGAACATCGCATGCAGTTTGATAAACCTAGCTAATGTGCATCTTATAATAAATGAAAAATAATCCGGGTAGAGTTATGGTCAGACAGGAGCTTTTCATATCTGCAGTTTTACCATGATAATTCTTCTGATCTCCACTGCATCGGCAATGTAGATGTGAATCGGAAATGCTCACAAGGATGTCTTTCTCCAAAAATGTTATGTTTGTTGTGTTTTGCATTTTACAATTTAAAAAGCTATCAGATGTTAAATGCTCCTATTTGCCTGGGCATGCAGTTGAAGAAATGAGAATTTTAAATAAGTTATGTATGTTTTTCCATGATATGCTGTACTGTATAATGTGGGTATTGCCAAAGCTTACTTGAACAAGCTGAAGTCTGAAGCTGATTGGCTGCCATGCACATCTGCACCAAATTTTGTACTTTCCAGTTTTAGTAAACCGAACTCTCTGTGTTTTTAGTACTATACTTTTTGGTGTGTTGGTTGTTTCAGTCTAATTGCTTTGTTGGTCTTCTACCATTTTTTGGACAGACGTTGTCCCCCCATATTACCTATAGCTGTTATTCCACAAACACTACCCATAATTTTTGAACTAACAAAAAATTGAATAAGGTACTACTTAGTACCTTACACCTAGTGTCTGTAGGCTGAAATCTAAAAGAATGTGGTCTTTTTTTTGTCTACTAACCTAGTAAAGAGCACTTTCTTCCAGGGGCAGACTGACAACTCATGGGGCCCCCGGGCAATAGGGAATCATGGGGCCCCTGTGTCCTTGCCCAAACTCAAAAAATCCTATGAAAAAGGTACCAGGGGCATCTCATGGGGCCCCCTACTGACCCCGGGCCCTCGGGCAGTTTCCAAATGGTCAGTCCGCCCCTGCTTTCTTCATATCCTGCATCAGGAAAAGGCTTGAAAACGCAATTTATACCATACACTTTTTCTGCAGCCTCTGCTTTTTGCCATATGGCAGCCCACATTTACTTGCTGCTAAATTAAGATACTACAAAATAATATGTTAGGATAGAAATATTGGAGCTGCCATTTCTGACTTATGTTTCAAAGTGCAGGGTTCAGGGCTGTTATTATTGTCTGTGCTTTACTTCAGAGTAAGTCGCTGACCTGGAACTAATTCAAAACAACCCCCATAGCTGCTTTATACTTCTTCTCATGTCACACCCTCACCAATGCCCATGAGCAAAGAAAAGAGTCCTTGAAGCTGTGTGTAAGCTCCAGGTCCCAGGTTGGAGGTTACACAGGGATAAAAATTCTCTATGACTTCCATGTAACAATGCTGGTTTCCTGAGCGAAAAGTCGCAAAAACAACCCATGAGAAGATGGGAGGTGAGTCATGTTCTCACCCATATCTAAAATTACCTGCTATGTCAGTTCGCTTCCTGGGTGAGCTAAGTTGTAGGTGAGCAAATGGGAAGCTGAGTATAGGCAGTTGCAGGGGTTGGCATTAGGGAGAATCTGTTGCTTTGACCTGCATGGCTTTAACATTTTTTAACTTCAATATTTCTTTAATTGTATAAAATGTAGTGATTTGTAGATTAGTGATCAGATAAAGTAGCTATTACAAAGACAAGGCTTAACCAACCACATAATCAGGGGTTAATTTACTAAAGGCAAATAGTCTGATCACCGTTCAAGGGAATTTTCCCATAGCTCAGTAAATGTTGTGAATATTTACTTTGCAAAGAATACCCAATCATGTGCAAGGAAAATATAACAAAAAGTATTTTTGCTTACACATTGTTGAATGATGGAAGTCTGCAGAGCGTCACCCCATTTACTAAGCTAAGGAAGAATTGCCCTTGAAAAGTGAACAACCTGATTTGTTTTTAGTAAATCAACCCCTCTAGACTTGCATTGTAAGGAGGGCCAGTAAACCACAGCCTTTGGGGTTGAGTTAATAAGGGAAAAGAGACCGTTCACCTTGAATTTTCATGACATTCACTAAGCTAAGCTAAGCTAAAATTCCCTTGCAAACCAACAATTCTCTTGCAAAGTGAACAGACCATTTGCCTTTAGCAAACTAACCCCTATGTACTGTATAGTAATGCAAAGCAGGAAGCAGAGTATGGATATGAACTAAGTACAGATAATTACAAAGCACATATAGAAACAGGGTTGGAATTGATTTATTTCACCCTGATCTCTTTTATACGAACAGAGTGGGGAACTAGACTCACAAGACATTGTTCCCTGCTTAAAGTGTTACTAAACCCAGGACCCTGCATTCACTATATCTGGTCTCCCACAGTACACACAACATGGAAATGCAATTATTTAGTAAATATAAACTGCTAAATACCTTTTCTCAGCAGTATATGTCTTGTCATATCTTGTCTTGTCTATCAGTGTCCAGCTGAGCACTGGTTAATCTTGTAGGATGAGATTTCAGTTTCCTCAGACTGTCCTCTGAGGCTGCATGACTCCTGACCCTCTGTCTGGACAGTGCTGATTGGCCCTGTGCCGATCACGTGCACCCTTCCAAAAAAAAAACCCCAAAACAAACTCTCTAGTAATGTTCATGCATTTGTAGAGTGTCTCATAGGACTCTGTACTATCATCAGATGGATTGGGGACTGTGGAAGAAGGGGAGGATCAGAGAAGACAGGATCAAACAGCCTTTTTACACAATGCAGAGGATTAAAGTGGTAGTAAAGTCTGTTTTTTTAACTTGTACCTACAAGTAAGCCTATAATAAGGCTTACCTGTAGGTACTGTAAATATCTCCTAAATGTGTACCATTTAGGAGATATTTACCTGTGTAGAGCACCGGCTCATGCGCTCTGAAGGAATGGCATGCCTGTGCGGTACCTTCAGAGCTGTGTTCCGTAAAAAGTGACTCCCGTGCGCATATGCCGGAGTGATGTCATTGGGGCTCAGCCAGTGAAACCTGGAAGAAGGACCGCATGAAGATGGAAGCCCTATCAGCGGTGACAGGGTGCCGCTGGAGGGCTTCGTTTTAATGTAAATTTCACATAATGTGCTAGTATTTGAGATGCATACTAGCACATAATGCCTTTGTCTTTCAGGGGAAAACTTTGAGGTTTTTTTTACTAGAGTTTACTACCACTTTAACCCCTTAGGTTCCATAGTGAGTATAGCAAACATGCTTTACTACATATACAGACTACTTTTACTGGTGTGGGTTTAGTAACACTTTAAAAATGCCAAGGTATGACTTGACATATCAATATGTATGACTTGACTTTTCAACATGGTATTCAGTAGAGCAAAGCACCTTCTGGCTGCTTGAGGGTGCTTCGTTGTAGGCACAAGTATATTTCATAGTATCTCTGTAATGTAAATAGAAGAATTGTGGTTAAAATTTCAAAGAGCTTTAAGGAAATATGTTGAAAGGTTGAAGGTGTTTTTATTCCATAGTACATTTTTGTTTTCTTTAGATACCACTTTTAATAGCACTTATAGTGCAAATAAGAGGCCTATATAGGACATACTTCAACTTCAATCTAATTACCATCTAATTCATACATTATTCATAATTAGCAGGTTGAAGCGAGATGCTCTGGGCATGCTTGGTACATCATTGATCTCATTATCCTACAGTTATCATTGGACCTTCTGTGGCTTGTTACCTTCACAGTATGGCTGCTCACCGTCACTAACACAATATCCAGAAATTAGCAAAAAAACAATTCTAACTCAAATTCTCTAAAATGTACAAACATGTACTCCGAGAATGATTTCAAAAGTCTAGATGAAAGGAAAATAAGGACTGTTGCCCATAACCACCATGCGTACTCTAGCTGCCATTTTGTGAGTGATATTAGAATTTAGTTAGTGAAGCCTTATGTTGCTATAGGCAGCAACCCCGCTTTTCCCTTCATCCCATTTTTTTCACATTAGCAAGTTTGCTGAATTGCTTAAAAGGTTGCACTGATCTAAATTTAATTTTGAAGAAGTGCTTTATAATAATAAATGCATGACTTTGTTTCCAAACTTAGGTTTTAAAAGGTTCTCTGGCGCTAACCCAACACATTACTGGCACGACATACACCTGCATTCCCACACGCATGTTTTACTTTCACTGTTTGTATACTAAGCACTCATTGCAAACATTGTTCAAATACAGTGAATCGCATGCCACCGAATGCTTTATTTTATGTGGAGTCTTTTCTATTGCTCAGAAAATAATGCTGAATTCTAGAACTCTGTTCAGCCTTTCATGATCGTATTGCTCTGACTGTGTGACTTGTCCTTCATGTCTGCTGCTTTTGTGTTTTTCTCTCCTTTCTTTCTTCTGTGTAACATAACAGGGCGATCAGGGCGAGGTGGGACAGAAGGTAGGTCTTATTCTGATCTTGCTATTTTGTGTGAAGTTGTATATTCCTGTATCCATCTTTTGGGAAACAAGAAAACTCTCAGAAATGTAACAACACCAGTTAAGACCCTCGAAGGGTTATTTACCGATGTGAACCTTAGAGATAACATTGGCAAATAACCCTTATTGTCTGTATCCTGTAAACCTATGGCGAAGTGGGAAAGAATGAACTTGTTATGACAGCTGGGATTTAATATAGGTCTTTGAAAAAGAAGGATCAGTTTTCACCATGGGCTTTAACTTGTGGTTGTTAGCTTAAACACAATAGTGCTCAGACTTACCTGCAAAAATATCTTCGTGCTTCTGTTCATCTGTTTCAAATTCAACTCACTTCTACAGTATGCTTGGTTAACATTGCTGCTTTCTAATTTGGCATTAAAATACATTACAATTCATATTATGTTAAAGAAGAACCTAATGAAAAAGCAGGATATTGTTTTAAAACACAGAGCTGTTGCAAAACCAGTAGTCAACATCCTACAAACTATACCTGTATGTGCCCATCCTTTCCACCACATCATTATGGACAGTAGAGTTGACATGGCCCAGTTAAGAGTCACCCATCACGGACAAAGGGCTGATTTTTTTTTCTAGCTAACACTTGTTGGTGCAATTTTCTGGGATGGTAAATTTGTATTAACAGAGCTGATTTAAGTTACTGTATTATTTTACTACATATAGTGCAGAAGTTCTTCTTCATATGTTTTCAACTGTGTTTTGTAAGTCCTCGTTCACGTGGGCATCCTTAACCACTTCGCGCCGGCGCCTCCCAGACCTATAAGAGTTTCAGAAGCCAGGAGGCGAGCAGGGTTTTAGGGTCATTTGACCGCCGTGATTTGCCGTCATGGCGGTCACATGATCGGAAAAGGTCCCGATCGAAAGGGGAGATCGGGACCTTTCCGTGAGTCACGGACATATGTGCTGGGATCGTGCAGGGGGCTTGCTCTCAGCACATATGTATTTTATAATTGTACACAAATATGCGGTCGCTCAGCGTCAAGGTCCAGAGGCCAAGAGGCCGCATATTTGCGTACGCTTGGCGTCAAGGGGTTCAGGGTATGCTGATACGAGAGCCATGTTTGTCTGCATGGGGGAGCAAGGGTGATCTGTGAATCCTACTGCAGGCAGTCCCATTCATTTCAGTTGGGATGAATCAGCTGCATGGACAGCTGTGTGGTGCTATTGCAGGAAGTGTGCGTTCAGGGACCTGCACGCCTGTCAAATTGAGAGTTGTGGCTCTAACAAAAATCAGATTACTTTCACAGGGATGCACAGAACACTTGTACATTCCCATGTGGGCAAACATGGCCCTCACACGGGCATATGCTTAAGTACACCCATATGAACAAGGCCTAATTAAGCCATTTAATGTGCAGCATAGCATGGGGGTTGATTTACTAAAGACAAATGGACTTACACTTTGGATCAGAATTTGCCCAGAGAGCTTAGAGAATGATGTGACTAGCAGGGCCGTGGATAAGGGGGTAACACCAGTCTTCCTGTATGGGGCCCAAGCCAGCAGGGGGGCCCAGGCAGCTGAGTGAATTGGATGTAGGCAGGGAGGGTGATTGGCATGGTGTGTATGGCTCTCTCTGAAGCAGATGAGAGCTGGCTTTTTCACCTCTCCCTTCCGCTGGCTGCAGAGTGAGCCATACAGGAGATCAGTTCCAGTAATTGCCCCCCCGCCTCACCCATCACCCTTCCTGTGCACCATACATTTCCCTGGCTGCCTAGGTCCCCCTGTGTGCCCTCACCCCTGCAGTGCTTCCGGCTTCTCTCCTCACATTTACCAGCCCCTTTTTCCCCCCTTGAATGAACACGAGTGATCAGTACTTATCACTCACTGTGTTCATTCATAATTGAAGCATAATAAACTTAGTTTTCTTTGGGGGGCCCTGTCAAGTTGGCTGCATGGGGCCCCATGTTTCTAACAGCAGCCCTGGTGACTACCATCATCCAATCATATGTTGGCAAAAATACTACTTTTTACATTTTTCTTGCACATTTTTGTGTATTCTTTGTAATGTGAAACTTCACTACATTCACCAAGCTTTAGGGAAAATTCCCTTGCAAAGTGAACAGCCCCTAAGTCAACCTCATGGAATAAATGTGGACCAAGAATATGACCTATGACTTGCTTGATATACAAAGTATGAAGGACAGAAGCATGACTTGTTAGTACTCAACTCTAATAATGGGCTGCATTGTTACCAAAAGTGAGTGATCATTAAAAACTGTCCTAGCCCCAAGAAATGCCAGCTTGACAGTAGGTGTGCTTACTGCTACCCTGCTGTAATGTTACAGAAAGTCACTGCTGTAGTTTAAAGCAAGCCTTGCAGTATAATGTGAGACCCACATATACTATCCTGCTGCTGTCAGTCAAATTCTGTGAGCAGAAAGCAGGGGGCGAGGTGGAGCCAAGCTGTGTGTGTCAATGGATACACACAGCCTGGCTCAAGATTGAGCCCACACATCTGCCCCCATAGCAAGCATTTGCTATGGGGCAGACAAAGAGGAGGAGAAGCAAAGATCACTGGCAGGGGACCCCAGAAGAGGAGGTTTGGGGCTGCTCTGTGCAATACGCACTCCTGAACCATGCACTCTGTACTTAGTGCACCCCTGAATCCTTTACTCTGTGTGGAGTGCACCCTTGAAATCTGCCCTCTGTACCTAGCGAACCCCTGAATTTTGCACTCTGTACGTAGTACAGTCCTGAACCCTGCAATATGTACTTAGCAAACCCCTGAATCCTTCACTCTGTGTGGAGTGCACCCTTGAAATCTGTCCTCTATACATAGTGCACCCCTAAATCCTGCACTCTGTACTTAGCACACCCCTGAATCCTTCACTCTGTGTGGAGTGCACCCTTGAAATCTTCTCTCTCTACATAGTTCACCCCTAAATCCTGCACTCTGTGTACTTAGCGCACCCCTGAATCCTTCACTCTCTGTGGAGTGCACCCTTGAAATCTTCCCTCTCTACATAGTGCACCCCTAAACCCTGCACTCTGTACGTAGTGCACCCCTGAGCTCTACACTTTTTAAGTAGCACACCACTGAACCCTGCAGTCTGTGCAATCCTGAATTCTGCACTCTGTATGTAACGCACTCCTCGTATTTAATGCCCCTTGAAAACCCTCCCACTGAAGTTTAAGCACACCCACCATTTGATGCTGTTTGGCAGGAAGGGAGAGGCATGACTGAGTTCATGCACCTATTCTCTGAGAGAAAAAAAGCTGTGTAAACATCTAATGTTTATTCTAAACTAACAATGATAAAGAAAGGGGGTTTAAGATACTCATCAAAATGGATTTTTATTACTGTATGTAGATAACTAAAATGCTAGCTGTAAACTGATAAATATCTGCTCAGGGATTTGAGTAATAGCCTCAAAGCAAATAGAAATTCTGTGCTATGATCTGCCATTTAAACTTGTGAATTCTATTAAGACCACATTAGACAGTATCTTAAAGGTGTGATAATCATAATTGCTTGTAGTAGCAGAAAAATTATATCTTTGAACATTCCAATGTAGCCTAATCAAAGTCATAATGAGAGTAAATGTGTTTTTTACCTTTATAATCCATATATTATTATTGCTGTTTTTGAAGTTTTTTTTTATGTTTTATTATTAATTACCATGAGCTTTGGCTATGTAACTTCAACAGAAGATTACATCATTATTTAAAAATCAGGAAGATTAGACACCACTGCAGTATCTGGAATTTGATGAGGAAGGTTTTATCCAAGATTTAGAGGTTAAAGATTATAATAGCTGTCTCTGTAAGAAGATGCCGACTTCAAAAATACTTTAATCTAGTCAGTTCACTTTGACAGCATCCAGCCTAGTGAATGAGACAATAGGATGATACACAAATGTAGTTCTTCTCCTTGGCCTCAATCCAAACATCATGAAAAATGACAAGTTAATGCTTTACATGTCACAGTCCTAGAAGGTAAAAATTGAATTGTCAGTAAATCAATTAAGTTTCTTCAGATGAGCAATGAGCTGCACTATGCAGACTCCTCTTTCTGCCCTGCTCTCTTTCTGTAGCTCAGTGGGCCTTCGTGAACAAATGACAGGTCCAGTTCATCATTAAAACTAAATGCACAGCACACGTGAGAGCAGCTATGGACAAAGGATTTCACAGGGACACATTCCTGTGGGTTCATTAACCACCAATGTACATGCCTTCTTATCCATACTGTGCATGAATGCCAGCTGTATGTATTTATTGAGGTGAATTGGACCTATGGTCCATGCAGAAATATCAGCTTAGATGCTCAGAAAGAACAGAGTGGGGAACTAGACTCACAAGCAGGGGTGGACTGACAATTCATGGGGCCCTCGGGCAATAGGGGATCATGGGGCCCCTGTGTCCTTGCCCAAACTCAAAAAAGCCTATGAAAAAGGTACCAGGGGCATCTCATAGGTGGTATTTCTGCATGGCAGGAATGAGTTTTTTGCTAGCTGGGATGAAAAAGGTCAGGGAATTAAAACATATATTTGGTTTATGTGAGGCTGTGGTTGCCAACATCCTTATTATACATATTATACCAATTGTGACCACCCATGGGACTTTATATAGCAAAGCAAACAAAGTATGTTTAAAAAAAAAAATAATACAATATATTTTATTATATGCAATATTAAAATGAATGTACATACAGTTGCAAGAAAAAGTATGTGAACCCCTTGGGATTACGTGGAGTTTTGCATGAATTGGGCATAAAATGTGCTCTGAACGTCATCTAAGTCACAACAATAGAAGAACACAGTCTGCTGAACATAATACTACACAAACATTAGATGTTGCCATGGTTTAATTGCACATAACATGTAAACATTCACAGTGCAGGGAGGAAAAAGTATGTGAGGCCCTAGCTTAATGACTTCTCCCAGAGCTAATTGGAGCCAGGAGTGAGCCAACCTTGACTCCAATCAGTGTGATGATATTGGATGTGTTGCTGACAGCTGTCCTGCCCTTAAAAAAACACACACCTGTTTTGGGTTTACTGGTTTCAAGAAGCACTGTCTGATGTGAACCATGCCTCACAGAAAAGAGCTCTCAGAAGACCTACGATCAAGAATTGCTGACTTGCATGAAGCTGGAAAGGGTTACAAAAGTATCTCCAAAAGCCTTGATGTTCATGTGTCCACGGTAAGACAGACTGTCTACAAATGGAGAAAGTTTAGCACTGTTGCTACTCTCCCTAGGCGTGGTCGTCCTGTAAAAATGACTGCAAGAGCACAGCGCAGAATGCTGCATCAGGTAAAGAAGAATCCCAGAGTGTCAGCTAAAGACCTACAGAAATCTCTGGCACATGCTAACATTTTTGTTGACACATCTACAATAAGGAAAACATTAAACAAGAATGGAGTACATGGGAGAACACCACAGAGGAAGCCATTGTTGTCCAAAAAGAATATTGCAGCACGTTTGAAGTGTGCAAAAGAGCACCTGGATGTTCCACAGCACTACTGGCAAAATATACTGTGGACAGATGAAACCAAGATTGAGTTGTTTGGGAAGAACACACAACACTATGTGTGGAGAAAAAAAGGCACAGCACACCAACATCAAAACCTCATCCCCACTGTGAAACATGGCGGAGGGAGCATCATGGTTTGGGGCTGCTTTGCTGCCTCAGGGCCTGGACGGATTGTTGTCATTGATGGGAAAATGAATTCCAGAGTTTATCAAGACATTTTGCAGGAAAACGTACGACCATCTGTCCGCCAACTGAAGCTCCGCAGAGGATGGGTGATGCAACAGGACAATGACCCAAAGCATACAAGTAATTCAACAAAACAATGGCTGCAACAGCACAGAATACACCTTCTGGAGTGGCCCAGTCAGAGTCCTGACCTCAACCCAATTGAAATGCTGTGGCATGACCTTAAGAGAGCGATTCACACCAGACATCTCAAGAATATTGCTACACTGAAACAGTTTTGTGAAGAGGAGTGGTCCAAAATGACTCCAGATCGTTGTGCAGGTCTGATCTGCAACTACAGGAAACGTTTGGTTGAGGTTATTGCTGCCAAAGGAGGGTCAACCAGTTATTAAGTCCAAAGGTTCACATACTTTTTCCTCCCTGCACTGTGAATGTTTACATGTTATTTGCAATTAAACCATGGCAACATCTAATGTTTGTGTAGTATTATGTTCAGCAGACTGTGTTCTTCTATTGTTGTGACTTAGATGACGTTCAGAGCACATTTTATGCCCAATTCATGCAAAACTCCACGTAATCCCAAGGGTTCGCATACTTTTTCTTGCAACTGTAAAACCACACTCTTGGTAGAGTAATACATCTTTTATAAAATTGCAAAACCCATGTGTGGCTGGCAGGGATTAAATCACAATACACCACACACTATTGTTGCTGATGGCTGGCGGTTGGAGGATCTATTGATGCTGACTGTGGGGAGATCTGTTGCTGCCAGTGGTCTATTGTTGCTGGGGGGTGAATTTTGTGCCAGGTGACTCATTGTTGCTGGGGGTTCTATTGTTGCTGGCTGCAGGGGATCTCTTTAACTGCTTTTCTTGTTATCATGAACAAATTCCATACAAATGACTTAGCACCACAAAATGGCGGCTATGGAAGGTGGGTAGGGGGTGCAATCTAGGAACAGTGCTTGGAGGTGGGGCAAGGTGGATACAAGGGATGACTTGGAAAGGGAAATTTCCTGCATATTTTCTCTGAGAAAAAAAGCCCAGATTGTATCTAATGAACGAGCCATGGTTGGACCTAAAAAATGTCTTCAGTACATGGGCCAAGGGAGATTAGTAGTTTTTTACAGACCGAAGAAAACTTTTGTTTGGTTCACAGAAATTGACAAGGACTCAGCCTTTCTGGTGAGATCAACGGGTATCTTTCGTACTTGATGAAAATGTTCTTAAAATGAAAACTATTGCAGACATCACATCTAACCACTGGAAAGCTGCAATATATCTTGGGTTTAGATATTCTTTAACTGATGATAAGTGGCGCAAATCATCAGTTTCCACCTGTATATAAAACATCGATTTTAGATGCAGTCAGCCTTTAGAAACAACACCATTTTTTAAAGCATGCTTGGATTTGGCAGCTGTCAAGGGCTATAATGCCGCAGACTAGATGGTGTCTGCCCTCATGTATGTACTCTTTGACTTTGCCTAGACCACGGGTGTCAAGCTTGCATCCCTCCAGTTGTTGACAGACTACAAGTCCCATGAGGCATTGCAAGATTGACAGTTACAAGCATGACTCCCAAAGGCAGAGACATGATGGGACTTGTAGTTTCGCAACAGATGGAGGGCCACCAGTTTGACATCCCTGGCCTACACTAACCTTGAGTTTTCAGCTACTGCTGCACGGGGGTTGGGATGATATGCTTTACGCATACCTCTTACCTGGAAATGCAAGAGTTATGGCCTTTGGTTATTGTAGACTTCATGCTGACCTCAAGAATTAAACTGCTCAATCTGAGTTGAATATAAAATACTTCTGACTCAGCCACCGTTAAATAGAAAACACCTGAAGATGTCTACAGGGGGGAGACAATGTTTTTCACAATCTGGTAATATTACAAATTCATTCTGGATTCCTGATGGATGCCTGATTGCAAGTATGTTTCGAGTTTCAGGTCTAAGAAGCCTGGAAGCATAATTCAAATGCAGTAACAGCCTGGTGTGGGTGACAGTACTTTAGATAACCTTCAATTCTTGAATCATTCTGCCCTCTAGTGGAAAACTGGTATATTGCACTACTTTGAATTAAAGCACATATGAAGGCTGCCACTGCTGACTTCCTTCTGAAAATTCTAGTTTCTCGAGTCTCATTCTCATCCAGTGACTTCAACACTCTTTTCACTGACAGAATCATCTATGCAGATCAGGTGATTTCACTAACTGCATGCCCATTCTTCCCAGCTTTCTAAGATGTAAAAGAGGGACACCTTTTGGGTATATATATATATATATATATATGAATACATATATATACAGTGGTACCTCGGTTTACGAATTTAATTCGTTCTGCAGAACTTTTTGTATAGTAGCAAGAAATTCGTAAAGCGAAACACCATTTCCCATAGGAATGCATTTAAAACCAATTAATCTGTTCCAGAGGTTAGAAAAAAGTAAACGCTACTAAAATACAGCATGAGTTATTTTATCAAGTCATGCGTTATTTTAGTAGTGACAACCATGTGTTAATGTTTCAGCTGTCGCGGGGTTCCCCACTGACAGCTAAAGGTAAAAGAATTTCCGGCAAATAAAAAAATAATTAAAAAAGATGTGGGGTCCCCCCTCCCATCCATACCAAGCCCTTTGGGACTGGTATGGATTTTGAGGGGAACTCCAGCGCCAACATAAAAAAAATGGTGTGGGGGTCCCCCCCAAAATCCATACCAGACCCTTATCTGAGCATGCAGCCCGCAGGTTAGGAAATGGGGGGGCGAGTGAGCGCTCCCCCCTCCTGAACCATACCAGGCCACATGTTCTCAACATGGGGGGGTGCTTTGGGATAGGGGCTCCCCCCTAAAGCACCTTGTCCCCATGCTGATGGGGACAAGGTCCTCTTCCCCACAACCCTGGCCGGTGGTTGTGTAGGTCTGCGGGCAGGGGGCTTATCGGAATCTGGAAGCCCCCTTTAACAGGGGGGCCCCCAGATCCTGCCTCCCCTATGTGAATGAGTATGGGGTGCATGGTACCCCTACACAATCACAAAAAAACAAAAATTGTAGTGGGAAAAAAGACAGGACACGGTCTTTGACAAGTCCTTTATTAAAAGAAAAAACTAAAAGAATGTTCCCCGCAGTAGATCCAACGTAAATCAAGATGCCCGCCGCTGACCCAAACATTTTTTTTAAAAAAAGGTTCTGCTCCTGACAATGGCTTCCAGCCCTCTGCCTCTGAGCTGGCTTGACAGTTCTTAAAAATATTGTAAGGGGTCACCCGAGTGACCCCGCCCCATGTGACATCATTGATGTCACATGTGGTGGTTCTAAAGTCTTGGTTTTTTTTCTTTAAAATAAAAAAAAATCACATTTACTTGCTGTGTACAATGGCTCTTCCCGACTGCCGAGTGCACCCAGAGGAAGATGCTCTCTCTGGGGAAACTTGTGCATGCTCTCTCCTGAGCCACCTCTGTGCGTCTATGGGACACACAGAGCGTGGCTCAGTCCCGCCCCCGCCCCCTATTCCCTCCTCACTGGCTGTGATTGACAACAGCGTGTCCCAACCAATGAAGAGAGAGAGTCCCTTGGCTCTTATGCACATTGCTGGATCAGGATCAGGCTCAGACAAGTATTATGGGGGGCTGTGGGGGGGGGGGGGAGCTGCACTCTGAAGGCTTTTTACCTTGATGCGTAGAATTATGCAGCCTTTAGAACCGCTTTAAATACTGCATCTCTAAACAGACCAGAAGTGCCACAACAACTAACC